TTTCTTTCATACAAAATGCTATGAGGTTAGAAATAAAAGAATTCAAAGTAGAAATATAATCTGAGAAAAAATTATGTCAGTACTTGGAAGATGTGACACTGCCCTTCCCATAATATATGCATGACATAATTGTCTATATAACTATTACTTCTTGACCAATGGGGAAAAAGCATCAGAATCTTACCTAAGAACTAGGATTGAATAAAGGCATGCCTCAATAAAGAAGGCTTAATTTAGCACTTCTAGAGCCAAGGTAAGCAAGAATCCCAACAACAAACATCTGAACTTTTGCTTCTTAAGATGAAGAGAGGTATGCCAGCTATGTCAAGCTTAAAGAAGAAAGGAAAAAATTCTTGGACACTGCATTCTCAGCTGAAAAAACTAGTTCCACTGTTTCTACAAGGCCCATTTGTTCAAGGTCAGATACAGGCAGTCTCCATATGACTGTGAATGGTACTGCTTATTATCTCATGGTACCAAAACAAGTCTGTAATGCACCATAAACTGTGTATACAACTGAACAATTCAAAGCTACATATACCGTTTCCAAGCTCCATGGAGAATTTTCCATTTTTTACTTCCCTTGTTTGGTTTCTTTATTTCTGTTTCCTAGGACTCTCCTAATTTTCCACTTGATAGAGAGAAGCTAGGTTCTTGGGCCCAAAGACAACAAAGTATATATTCTTGAAACTCTGGTCCTAAATTGGATGTCTATGCTGGACTGAAATGGAAAGATTAAATGTACTAAGGTAATACCTCCTGAAGCTTTCTGTGATCTAAAAGAATGATACAAAACTTGTAACTGCCTTACACTGTTGCTGAAGTATGAATGGATGCCAGTATACCTGTAGCGCTAATTGGACTCTGCCAGCCAGTCAACACCTATGTGAGCTGCTGCCTAGACACATGATCCAAGCCAACAGCTGCCACCTTGATGGAAAGTGCTTTGAAATGAACGAGTCTGATCAAAGCTCGAAGACCAATCAAATCTAATTACATCTGCTTTCTTTTTGTAGCTCTTTTTCTATGTTTGTCAGTCATGAAATTAATTGTACAACTGTGATAAATAGAGTAAATGAGAGCTTATATTACTTAAATTGGGAAGGGATTATACACTTGTTTTCATGTTCCCTTACAAGCAGAAGTATTTATGATCTTAACAGGAAAATAAGATTCCTTAAGAGTAAACTAAAAGCTATGGTACAGTACAAAATTTTATCCATTATCAAATGATACCTTTAGAAATGTGGTATAATGGCTGTTGTTACTTGTATTAAAGGCAAGAGGCGTCTCCTAACCAGGAAAGACTTGTGGTTTATACCACTAGAAAAAAAAACACCTGGCCAAAGAATCCCCCCAAAAAACAACCCCTACTATCTCACATACAATGCTTAGTATTACTGACTTCATTTGAGTATTATCCTTCCCTTCTTCCTAAGTTCTACTTTTTATTTAAAAACAAATACTTCATTTAAATGATAATTATTGAACTACTAAGGGCAGCTTAGGACTACAAAAAGTTGCAAAAACTATGTATTCTGAGCAAAAAAAATTCCCCAAACTTTTGCACTTAATATTGAGTTTACCTGTGGCTACAGAAGGAATGCTACATATAAAGAGGGGGTGTTGTGCTTGAGAGGCAGACAGGCACAGGGAAACCCAGTGGAAGTCGTTAATCAAAATAATTTTTCCTGGTGATTTCTATATAAAGGGGAAGGCAAAAATATCTTTAGAAGTAGGTCAGGGTTAAATGATATATGGACCATTTAACATCCAAAAATAATTCCTGACTCCAGAGGGGGGTCGCTACTGTATTTTGCAATGTACAAGTCAACATGCTGTATAAGTTGACCCCATATTTCTGCTCAGAAAGTTTGGATTTTCATAGATCCTGTGTATAAGTTGACCCCGCCTTGCTTGGGGGGGCGGGGTGTGTCAGGAGGGTGGCTGGGTACATTGGTGGGAGGAGAAGGCAGTGGGGATGGCAGTGGACCCTAGCACCCCCCCCCACCCTCCACAGCTCAGGGGCTGCCTGACCCAGCAGCAGCTTACCTCCTGTATGCAGGTTGTGGTGGCCAGGCTCCACCAAAAGCAAGATCAGGCCCCTTGCCACTTCTGCCTTCAGCAGGCTCCTGCAGCCCACATGATGCCTGACACTACCCAGGAAGGGACTGCCTCGCCCCATGGGCAGTTTGGGGTGTTGGGCAGGGGTGGGTGCTGCCTATGCTTTCAGCGCCTCGCACACCATCCCCGTTCCCAGCACACTCTGACACCCTCCTGGTGCCCCCCCATCCTGCCCAGGGGGCAAGGCAGGCCCTTCCCAGGTGGCACCAGGCATCCTCTGGGCTGCAGAAGCCTGCTGAAGGCAAAAGCAGCGAGGGGCCCAATTCTGCAATCGGTGGAGCCTGCCTGCCTCTCACATGGCTGGGGGGTGAGCTGCTGCCAGGCTGGGCAGCCTGAGCTGTGGTGAGGCCCAGTCCTTCCTTCCACAGTGGCAGTGTCCCCCAAGCTGTGTGCTTCCTGAGATCCCAAAGGCCTGTGTGGCAGGGTGCTGGTGCAGGGTCCAGGTGAAGTACTGATATGGTGTATAAGTCAAGGTGGAAATTTAAGGGTATAATTTTTTGGGTTCAAAACTCGACTTATACACCATAAAATATGGTAAATGATACATTAAAACAAATGCTTTTAAAATATCCATTCTCCCCACCATTTCTCATTTAAAAGCCATTATGCACCCTTGTAATGTGGAGCTTGAATGATGTAGGCAATTGCTGCAGACCAGTAACTGTAACTTTTCAGCAAAACTACTTTAATGGGTTCAATTCATGGATAGTTAATTTCACTTTTAGGTAGCATATGTAAACAATAACATTTTCAGTGCCATTATTTAACAGAAGTATTTAGCTGTGTTGGTGTGAAGTCAGGGAGAGAGTAGCACCTTGCAGCAGGGGTAGGCAACTTGTGGCATGAGTGCCAGAAGTGACATGGTAAGCCTGCGTGTATGGCAGATCAGTGAGGGGACAGGAAGCACACCAGCAGGTGGGGCTGGAAGCAGAAAGCAAAGCAGGAGATCGAGCAAAGAGCACAGGACAAGAATCAGAAAGCAGAGGAAGAGATCAAGCAGGGATCACAGAATAGGAAAAGCAGAGCAACAGACTGGGCAGAGGAAGGGGATCTGAGTGGCACGCATGGAAGGTGAGGGGCTAATTTGTGGCCCAACTGCCAAAAAAGTGGGTGCCTACTACCTTAGAACATCTAACGATGTAGCTGTCACCTACAAAAGCTTATGCCTCTCTGAACTAGCTGATCTCTAAGGTGTCAGCCTTCCCTGCTTTGTGTTAACATAAGACCTTGCTTGTACATGCTTTTGAAAATATTATTAAACAACTTAACATTAGAAAACCTTCATATTAGAAAATTTGCCAGTCATAGTCATGTTGGTGAGATGTGATTCTATTTTTTTTACACCTGCATGCTGGCAAAATTCCTAGGATAGAGGCAGTAATAATGGCCTAAAAGTGGTATCATTTGCTAAACTGGTATAAGCTGTTCATACAAACTCCATATTTTGTATACTTTGTGATTTCCCTAGGAAGGTTTTGCTAGCATAGTCAGAGCTATTGTAGACTGGGCTTCAGTGTTAGATTCAAGAATACAGACCATAAACAGCTCAGATTTATGAAATTTAAATCATAAATATTTAAATTAATCAACTTTTGAATCTTAGAAAGGACCCGGTACTGAAAGCCAACCACTTTGTATTATTATTGAAGTTAATGAGAAAACAGCATGTAGATTTTTTGCTGAACTCTATTCAAAATGCTTTCCCATTTTTCTTTTTAAACATCTATAATACCTTTCTTATTAATTAGTATAGCAGTTTGTGCAGAGCAGATTTATGCATCTAAGAGGACATTCTGTGAGTGAGCTACAAAGCAGTGAGAAAGTAATCAACTTTAGTTTAATTTTTGCCACAGGTTTACTATATAACAATGCATTTGGTTAACATTATTTCACTTACTCTTTCATTTGTACTGTTTCATCATTTACTAAGAAATTCTTGAAACTTGTCACTACCTATTCATATCTTTCTAGAAGGTGACAAGTCTTTCTCTGTCAAATGAATTCCAATTCTGTAATCAGAATCAGGTATCCTGATAACCATTAGGAAATGCCATCATTGAATCTCTGATTGTGTATCTTTAAACTTTGCTCTTTGAGGACTCATTTTTGCAATAAATTTCGTGCATGCTTACAGAATCAGTCTGTGAGTGATGATCATGTATTTACATTCTATTTTTATTCTAGAACACTATAATGATGATGGCTACAGACTCAGCACACGAACAAACATCAAACTGAGACTGCCTTTGTGCCAGAGAGGGAGTTGCACTGTCTTATGAAACTATTAATCTTTTAAACAAAATGTCTGGACAACTTGTACAAAGCAAAGTTTAAATGAAGCCCCAGTAGCTGTGTTGCTGAAAAAAAAGCAACACGAAAAGGGAAGAAAAGACAGTATTCTGAGAGAAGCAGAGCATGTGACTGTCTCCTTGCCTCCAGAGATCACCTTCAAGATAAAATGATCACAAGCCTAATGCATGGAATCCAAGACCCTCACTACCTGAATCAGAATTTCTCTCATGTCAAAGCCAAATAACATTTCTACAAATAGCTCAATAACACTATAACACATCTAGGTTAAAGTTGCAAACTATTTTTTCCTTCCTTTGATTACACAAACACACCTTTGAGCAAGGAAGGGAACATCTTCTTTGCCTGCTGGATATAAAATTGTTCCATTATCAAGGTCGTCATCACAGATAGCACTTTCCATGCTACTTTTACACTAACAATTTTCTCTGTGGAAAAATGCTTTGGAGAACATATTAATGTGTTCAAGTGCACTCCTTCGTACACTGTTGCTTCTTGCTTTAAAACTGCACCTGTTAGACCATTCCCTTCCAATGCTAACTGAAATCGAATGTGATATGTATTACCTTTTTGAACATTCTGGTGGAATCTTCGCTTATCTGCATGAAACGCATGATAACATTGTTCAGATAAATATCACTCAAAGTTGCATGGTCTTTGCTTTCTCTTCTCACTTGATTCAGTAGTAAGTACCAACAATTCACTGGGGATAAGAGATTCTGGTCTTTCCTAAAATGTATAGATATATTACATAATTAACATATCACAAGTACCTCCATATCACATACAGCAATACCAGTTACGCAAAAACACAAACCCAACAAATTTACATTTAAAGTTGAAAAAAAGTGTTCAACTTTGCAAGGGATGTGTGACATGTCTGCAAATATAAATTCAAGCCAAGTCTTGTTCCCCTTCATACATGGAAGTAGACCCACTGAAATCAATAGTCAAGGTTTAGACAATACTTTTAGATGTGTTTTACAAAACACGAGGCATAACTAGAAAAAAGCATAAGAATTCAGAACATTACAATCTATCTGGGAATATCAAAAACATGTCACAGAGCCTGCAGTTCCTAAAAATGGACTAGACATAAAATTCTGAATCTATATAGTCCTGTCCTAAGTGAGGCACAAAAAAGTCTTGAAAATGATTTTAAAATACTCTGCAGATTTTTCACTGAATAGATTAATCAACAAATTATTAACTGACCAGCTCTGCAGTGCACAAAAGCTACACATTTCACATGTTTTACCTCAATGAAGTACAAAATAGAATCATAGAAAAGTAGGGCTGGAATGGATCTCAGGAGATCATCTCGTTCACTCACCGCTCAAGGTAGAATCATCCCTGACTAAACCATCTCAGCAACGTGTTTTTCTAACCTCCTCCGAAAAACTTTCAAGGATGGAGATTCCATGACATCTCAGGTAGTATGGTTCAGTGTTTAACCACCCTCTAAGTGAGAAAGTTCTTCCTAATATCCAACTTAAATTTGTCTTGCTGCAGTTTAAAACCACTGTTCACTGTTCTGTTTCCTGTGGCCACAGAGAATAGTCTATCTCTATCTCCTTTATAACCATCCTTCAGATATTTGAAGACCAGTATCAAATCTCCCCTCAGTCTTATCTTCTTCAAACTAAATAATCCCAGTTCTTTCAGCCTTCCCTCATAAGTCATGATTCCCAGACATCTAAATTATTTTTGTAGCTCTCCTCCTAATTCTTTCAAATTTGTCCACATCTTTCTTGAAGTGTGATGCTCATACCTGGACAGAGTACTCCAACTGAGGCCTCACCAGTACCCAAAAGAGAGGAGTAATAATTTCCCTTGACTTGCAAATGACTATTCCCTTGGCTATTTTACAGCTCACTGTATTACTGGCTTACACTTCCTTGTTTCAACCTGCAGCAGCAATCAAGAGAAAGCAAGAATATACATGCAGCAATACACAGAATGTTAATAGTTCCTTCATTTTTCTTTTTCATTCTTCCTGGCATCTCCTGTAAAGTTGACCAATTTTTGTTATTAAGACTTTCTAATTCTGGGAATTCCACTGCAAGGAATCAGTGCACATCTTGCAAAAATGCATAGCTGTCTTCCAGCTATTACATTTTGTTTTTACACACACTTATGTTTTCAGGATAATATTTATGTATCCTACATTTTAAGAGACTGTTTCAATCTGTCATAGTAGCATATGAAAAATAACCAATTTAGGGTACTAGGAGTCAACAAACCAAAGTGCAGGAGAGCAGCCAGATTACACAGCATTTGGACATTTGGAAAAATTAAAGAAAAAACACATAAAAGAAAAGAAAAAAAAAGAAAAGAAAAAGAAAAAGAAAAAAAAATCACTTTTCATATTGGAAAGCTAGACAAGCTTGAGTGTCATAACCCCTCTTACTTGTACTGCTGATGGTCCTTTGTGCTTCTTGTTTTGGCCATGAATCTTTCTGCTAATTTTTCTAGATTTCGGGAATACTCCGTCTCTATTTCTGCTTTTTTGCGGAAGAAATCCTGTAAGTCCTGAAGAAGCTGTACCCTCATTTCAGTTTGCTGCTCCAGACATTTTTGCTGCTCTATCAGTTGAGCTCGAATTTCTAAAGAAAATGTGCATAACTAAAGTCAGTAAAAGCAGGAAAAAAGCACTAGAAATAATGTTTACAAAACATTTTGCATCAAGCCCAAAAATATAAGGACAAATTTCAATTAAAGTTATGTATACCACTCTTGATATAATGCAAGTAATTTAGCAATAGGATCCAGACATTTAGTATTTTCAACAAAGGAGTAAATCACAGCGCATCAGTGAGATTCCACAATTACTCCCTATTCTTGAGAGGGAGATAAACTGAGGTATCATGGATATGTTAGCTGCTTGCAGATACTGAATTTGTAGTAGCAACCACCCTAGAACAAAACGTGTTTTTGTAAATCAAAATATATCACAGATGTGCACACTCTCTGACATTATGCTATACTTACTCATTGCAAAACAAACCAATCAATTAAAAAACCTAACACCTCTTAATTACATTTATCCAGAAAGGCAGAAGAAAGAACAGCTTTCCTTTCACATTTTTAACCACTCTTCTTTTTGTTCATTGGCTTAAGCACAATTAGCATCTGGTACTTTTACACTGTGCTAATGTTTCTGCAGTGTTATGTACATCTTTCTAAAATTTTGGATAACTATACTAAAAACATCCATGTGTTTCTTTAACTGGGAAAATCCCCAGATTTTCATTATTTCAACGAATTTCAATTATCATTATTTCATCATTACCATTCATATTATTTTTATCACTTATTCATTTAAATTTCAAAACACAGTAATAAACAAGCCAGCATGGGACAGTGCAATGGGAACCACATTTCATTTACTCTGAGAAGTAGTTATATAACAGGGACTTTTTTGATAGCAGAGGTAAGTAGGACTTGACTCAGGCCTATCAAGTCAAGGTCAAGGATCTTACAGACTTTAAAAAGATACGAATTTGTCTTTGAGACACTCATTGAACTGATGGGCAGGATCGCCTAGGAGGCCAGTCTGAGGGGGATAGGAGTCCAGGATAGCTGGCTGCGCTTTAAAGAAAACTTATTGAGGGCACAGGAATGAATCATCCAAAATGCAGGAAGACTAGTAAGTATGGCAGAATACCAGCTTAGCTTAGCAGAGAACTCTTCAGTGAGCTAAAACACAAAAATTAAGCTTACAAGAAGTGGAAACTTGAACAAACTAGGGAGAAGTATAAGGAGTATTGCTCAGGCATGCAGGGATGAAATCAGGAAGGGCAAAGCGCAATTGGAGTTGCAGCTAGCAAGGGATGTGAAGAGTAAGAAGGGCTTTTACAAATATGTCAGCAACAAAAGGAAGATTGGGGAAAGTGTAGGTTCTTTACCAAAGGGGACGAGGCAAACTAGTGACAGATGGTGCAATAAAGGCTGAAGTACTCAATGCCTTTTTAATCTCAGTCTTCACAGGCATGGTCAGCTCCCAGAGTACTGAACCTGGAAGCACAGTTTGGAGAGAAGGTGAGTAGCCAACTGGAAAGCAACAGGTTAGGGACTATGTAGAAAAGCTGGTTGTGTACAAGTCTATGGGTCTAGGTGTGATGCACCCTCAGGTGCTGAGGGAGTTGGCCAATGTGACTACAGAGCTACCGGACACCATCTTTGAAAACTTGTGGTGACCAGGACAGGTCATGAATGATTGGAAAATAGCAGATATAGTGCCCATCTTTAAAAAGGGAAGAAGGAGGATCCAGGGAACTACAGCCTGTTCAGCCTCACCTCAGTCCCTGGAAAAACTATGGATCAGGTCCTCAAGCAACCCATTTCTAAGCACTTGGAAAAGGAGAAGGTGATTAGAATTAGTCAGCATGGATTCACCAAGGGCAAGACATGCCTGACCAACCTGAATGCCTTCTATGATGAGATGACTGGCTCTGTGGATGCAGAAAGAGCAGTGGTTATGATATACTTTGACTTTAAGCAAGACTTTGGATATAGGATCCCACAACATTCTTGCAAGCAAGTTAAGGAAGTATGGGATAGATAAGTGAACCATAAAGTGGATAGAAAACTGGCTGGATTGGGCTCAAAGGTTAGTAATCAATGGCTCAATGTTTAGTTGGTAGTTGGTATCAAGTGGAGTGCTCCAGGGGCCAGTCCTTGGGCTGATTTTGTTTAATGTCTTCATCAGCAACTTGAAAGATGGGATAGAGTACACCCTCAGTAAGATTCCAGGTGACACCAAGGTGGTGGGAGATACGATGGAGGTTAGGACTAGGATTAAGAGGGTTTGTTGCGTCTCCAATCCAGCCTTTCTATATCTTCTGTTCCCAATATTCTGCCCAGACCACTGCTTCCGGTCTTGGTGTTGCCAGATCTTATGGGGTGCATTGTGGTGCTACAGGTCATCTTGGGAGATGATTTTTGCTTCTCCTGACAAACACATTGGTTGTTTATACAGAGGCCCCATGATTTCATGAGAAAGTTTCAGGTGTGTCACATTCAGAGGGTGTGCCTACATGAGATGCTTTACTGTGCAGTAGACTAATATACTGCGTAAAGTGTCACTATTTGACCATGTGCTAGGCTACTGCACAGTAAAACAGGCTAACGAGCAGTCATCTACTACCTGAAAATACAGGTAGTAGATAAACTGTGTATTAGCTACTGTGCAGGCCAGGAGCAACTTGCTCCTATGCCCAGACAGATCTAGACAAATTGGATCAAAAGAAATTGGACTGGATCAAAAGAAATCTCATGAGGTTCAATAGGGAGAATTGCAAAATCCTGCACTTAGGATGGAACAATCCCAGGCAGTGATACAAGATGGGGACTGACTGGCTAAACAGCAGCTCTGCAGAAAAGGCCCTGGGGGTTACAGTGGAGAAAAAGCTGAATATGAGCCAACAGTGTGCTCTTGTTGCCAAGAAGGCTAACGGCTTACTTAGCTGCATTAGTAAAAGCGTTGCCAGCAGATTGAGGGAAGCAATTCTTCTCCTCCATCCAGCACTGGTGAAGCCACGTCTGGAGTACTGTGTCCAGTTTTGGGCCCCCACTACAGAAAGGATGTGGACAAATTGGAAAGAGTTCAGCAAAGGGCAACACAAATGGTTAGGGAGCTGGGGCACATGACTTCTGAGGAGAGGCTGAGGGACCTGAGTTTATTTAGTCTGGAGAAGAGACGACTGAGAGGGAATTAAATCGACTACCTGAAGTGAGGTACCAAAGAGGAGCAAGCTAGATTGCTCTCAGTAGTGGCAGATGACAGAACAAGGAGCAATGGTCTCAAGCTGCAGTAAGGGAAGTTTGGGTTATATTTTAGGAAAACCTCCCTCACTAGGAGGGCAGTAAAGCACTAGAACAGGTTACCCAGAGAGGCTATGTAAACTTTATCTTTGGAGGTTCTTAAGACCTGGCTAGAAAACCGGCATGATATAGTTAGGGATGGTCTTGCTTTGGGCAGGGGATTGGTCACTAGATGACCTCCTGAGGACCCTTCCAACCCTAATTTTCTATGATTCTATGAATTGGTCTTTAATTGTGTGATCATTTAATTGTTAAAACAGCATTAGGAGATCTCAAATGCATCACTAAATATTCTGTTTTTATAAGTTGTTTTGTCTTTTATTGTAAGCTACTCTGAGCCATATGGGGAAGATAAACAAACAGAATTGTGTTTAGCATGCTTGATATATGTTATAGAAGAGCATTACACTATTAATGCTATAGTGACATTACTGTGTACTATGAATTATAAATAGTAATAAAACCAAAATTATTTCCTCTCTGATTCTGACTAGAATCTAAGGCATCTGAATGAGTCTTAGATGATGCATGAAGTCCTAGATATAACCTGTGAAACCACTGGAATTCAAACATACATACTGAAGTGATCTGGAATGAGCACAGGAAACTGTTAAATCAGTGTACTTGTTGGAGAAGGGAATGTTTCAGAGCTCTTTGCTGATTCTCCTTTGAGGCACCAGCAGCTATGTTAATCATTAATGAGACCATCCATTTCTAGAGTGAACCCAAAGATCATGAGTTCATATCTAATCAAGTCATTGGAAAAGAATCATACCTACAACAAGGATGAGACGATGCAATACAATATTGTATCCGTGACATACATATGCCTTGAGGAGAAAACACATTAGACCTGGAAGGTTATTAACAGACATCTAATGTGTCCACTGTTTGTCAAGCCTGTACTGGGCTTATGGAAACTTTGCACACAATTCCTTAACTAACTTATGAATCCATTCCTAAGCCAACCATTTTCAATATCTGGAGCAGTGATTTTCATTGACTAAATTCAAATCCTTAGACTGATCCATGCAAATTGTAATACAGCCAAAATGCGTTGCTTGCTTTTTATTAGTAACAATAGGGCTAAATGAAGTCTTGCAACTTGTTCAATTTCTGTAACTTAATATTCACCAAGTATTCAAGCCCAACTGCTTAGCTTATATCTTACAGCATGGGTTGGCAACTGATGGCTCCCTCACCGGATCTGGCCCATAAAGAGGTTGTATCTAGCCTAGGAATGTCTGACCTGAGACAGTACAGAGGATCAGGCAGCTGCACCAGGCCTCCCACCCCTTCCACAGCACCCTCCTCAGCAGCCACCCCTGCTGCTCTTTCTTACCCGTGCTTACTTACTCTTACTGCAGAAGGGCCGGGTATCTGCAGGGAGGGAAGTCAGGGCAGCTTGAGTTTCCCGAAGGGTGGAACCCTGTGGTGGCTTGGAAGCTCTGACCCTCCCGCCCCCTCCATTGTATAACACTGGGGATTCTGAGGTGGTCTCCCATTCACATACCAGCCAGGGTGAAGACTGCATAGTATCAAAGGCCAGATGAAGACAAGTGTATTTAGTCTATTATGGCCACCAAACCACCTCTGAAACTTTGGGGATATTCTTAATGACTGTAAGTAAAGTTATGGTTTTAGGATATAAGAGCCTTATTTTATTGCAAGTCAACTGATTTGCTGCTGTAATGTACTCCCTTTGGGCAGGTCTTTTCCACAGCAGCAGAGAAGAGAAAAAACATTTTCAGAACACAAAAATATTACTGGAATTCTTCAA